TCAAAGGTGTTACTTGACTTTTCTTGGTCACTAGAAGTCAAGTTTTTGAGTGAAGAGGTTTGTAAACAAAAGAGAAAAGGTAGAGACGACTCTTGAAGTCATACTTCAAGTTGTTTTAATGAATATATTAAGACTTTATTAGCAAAGAAGTATAAAAACTTCTTGCTAACATTTTTTTTGTGTGTGGTCAGAGGATTAGCGAAAAGAGTGGAAGTTTTTTTTTTTTTTTTAAAATATATTATATATATATTTTTTTTCAACTTATTTCTTTTATAGTTTTCTATATTTTATTTGCTTAATAAAATATATAATAATAATAACCTATCAATAATAAAGTAATAAATTGAAAAGTTATTTATCTAAATTCTATTATAGAATAAAATATTGGTTTTAAAATTAAGTTTAAAAACTATTATTGCTTATAACAAATTTATTAGATTTTATTAGAAATATTTAGTTATAGTATATATTATATTGCTTAAGTAAAAATATATTTATACTTTCAAATGATTAATAAACTATAATTTAATCAGATTGTAGATATTATAAAAAAAAACATCAATTTATTTTTTAAGTGTTAAACCGTAACTGGTATTAGATACGAGACTTTATTTAGCAATTTAATTCTACTGTCATTATATCAAACATCTCTGCATATACAGATTAATACTAACCTATCGCGGAAAACCTAGTTAGACCTACTACCACTCAGAAAGTAAGCACATCTAGCTAGCGGCCAGATGATTAATACACAGTCATAAACAACAATGCTTAGGCTAGTTAATATAGAGCTTATATGACTATTTTTTAATTGTATACACTAAACTAAACCTGTTAGATATACCCGACGGGATGTATATACTCTTCAATATTCTCAGATATTATTTGCTCAGATTTCGGAAGGGAACATGTTGCCTTCTTTGTTATCACTTGTGGCATTGGATCAGTCTCTATTAACTGACTTTCAATTAAGCAGATCATCAGATTGAAATATCTTGAGCCAGGAGAGCGGGGTTTTGGAGGCTGCCAGGGCAGAGTAAACTGGAGGCTTTATGTGAAAGGCTAGATCAGAAACCTTACTTCGTGCAATCCTTCTGGTAGTATAACCTTGAGTTTCAACCCCTGATCAATGAAAGGTCAGAAGTCCCATCTTTATGCAGCCTAACTTGTTTCAAGCAGGTTCTAGATGATTGGGTACGACTTTTACAGGATAATTGGTAAACCTGATCAGAAGGATAATTTCGATAAAAAAAATTAATTTATTTTGATTTATATTAGTAATAAAATATTCAATAATATAATTCTTGAAAATTTTATATTTAAAAAATATTTCAATTATTATTAAATTCTTTGTTTAAATTCTTTTATAAAAATAAAATTTTAAAATTTACTTATTTAAAGAAAAGATTTACATCTTATATACAATATAATAAAATTAAATTTTAAAAACTTTAAAAAATAGATTTTAATATATTTACTATATTTTCAAAATAATTGATAAAATTAACTAATTATAGACTTATATATATCGTTTATACTAGATAATTATATACTTTTTTATTTTAATTAGATAAAACTTTTAAATAATTTGTTTTTATGTTTTATAAATTCTTAATTAATATAAAATTTTATTTATCTTCGATTTAGTATACAAAACATGTATATATACTGTATATATAATATAATATACTATATATCAAAAACTAATTATAATTTTGCAATAGTAACCTGTCAATAATGATGTTAGCAGTTGAAAGAATCTTTACCTGAACTATTAATAAAGTGATAAATCACTCTCGAAGTTGCACTTAGAATTTTAGAGAATTAGCTTTAGCAAAACATTTTATAATACTGTATACTGTATACAAACTAATAAAGCGCACGTATCTAGCCCGACCAATTATAATTCGGATATTACAAATATTATTTTTTTAATTCATATTAATTAATCCTGAAGTTAACTTGAAGAATTCCAATATTTTAACGTCATATTTACTGTATATAACCATCATTCCTTTTATTTATTAAGGTCTATTTTATAAATTTGGAAAAGAGAACTTTTTTTTTTTTACCCAAATATAATTACGATTAACCAAAAAAATCGACAATTAATTATATCCGGTTGAAACTAAGTAATTAAAAACAAGCCGGAATAATTTAAACCCGATTAAAAATTAGATCAATTAGATTTGACTAACTAAATAGGACCGGAATTATTTAACCCCGATTGCAAGCAATTAAATCCGGCCGGATTCAACTAAACCCGATTAGAATCTAGTCGGAATTAGCTGATTCCGGTTATACATTGCATACATTCTTAACTTTTTATGTAAAAATGATTTACTTGCATATAAAAAATTGGTTTAATGTAAAACTTATCTCTAGAAGAATATGAAAATTAAATAGATAAATCTTTCTAAACAGTTCTTGACACATAATGAATATCCTATAAGTAAAATCCTATTTAAGAAAAATTCATTAATAATTATAATGTTTTAAGAGATTAAATTATTATTATTTTTATATAAAACAAATGTGCAACTTTATTTAATCACTTTTCTTTTATATTTCCTTTGTTATAATGTAATTTTTACTTTAAATATTCATAAAATTGAGCAACATTAAAATAGAAATTGAGATAATCCGAAATGATTCAAGACTAAAATCATTTACTAAATAATTGAGATTACTCTTTTGCTTCGTAATCCTTTCTGGAAATAAAGATTTATTATTACATACATTTATGAGACATACTACTATTGTTACAGAAGTTTTTTTTTCAATTAATAAACCAGGAAGACATTAAAATGTTCTGAATGTTAAAAAAAAAGTCCTTACGGACAGCATAACTTCATACTCTTCACCCTAGTCCAATCTCCTCAAGTATTTTCGTCAATGTATTCGGTTCGCAATAGCCTAAATGCCCAGTAGTGAAGGGGGTAATATCAAAATTTTCGACCCTGTCGCATTTAATAGGCTCCAGTCCAGCGACATTAAGACCAAATGAATGCATTCTGTAAATCAGTCCAAGTACAATGTCGTTAGTTGCATATGCATTCACGAATCGACGGGAAACTGCGCTGGCTGCTTCTTGCCATTTAGTAGCGGGTGTAGAGGGAACCGGCGCACCAATGAGTATCACTGAATAAAAAACGGTCGATCTTGAATAATTATGCAATAAAAATAAGAGTAAGTCCAAAAGGACATACCACTGTCGATCAAGCCATACTTTTGTCTCTTCACCAATTCGCACAGGCATGACCAAATTACCAAGGCGCCAAGTGAATATCCTACCTGTAAAGATTTTCAAAATCACCTTCAATTATATTTCTTTGAATGCATAATATACAAGCAATCGAGCACCAACTTATCTCGATGTTCACGAAGAAATTAGATTGTATTTACCAATACAGTAGGGCGCTTTCCTTGAACTCGTCCGATCAAAACATCCGCTAAAACCAAACCAGCCTTGCATGCACGATCAACGCCTAATGCCCAAGGATTATCTATCAAATCACTTGCTTTCATCAGCGTCGCCGGTAGCATAAGGGCACTCGCCAAAGTTGCGAACACAGTCTTTTGTAATGCCGATTGCGCGGCGACCTTGACAGCAGATTCGGCCAAGAACATGCGAAACGCCCGTCCAAGCGATCTGAGAATCTCGGGATCGAAAGACAACGCAAAGGTGTCACTATAGTCTGCGGTGTTTTCGAACGTCGGGAGCCAAGGTTTGGTCACTTCATTGCTACTTTCCAAGAGGTACCCCGAAATGACAATATTAACCTTCATATGATGCCAAAATAAATTAATTTATTTAGGCACGCGTTAAATGATAAATTAAGAAGGGACCTACATATAAAGACGGAATAAGAGGAATCGTTTCGTCGTTGGTAATCCTGATGAAAGAAAACTCTTTCAAGCCCCTTGTCCTCACGTGCATCTTATAACCTTCAGAATGATCGTGGATTAGTAAGTTGAAAGCAAGAAAATCATTATGGGATAAATGTATACACCTCCTAGTCCACCTCCGGCAATTCCAAACAATGAAGTCATTAATACCACGCTTGAGGCAGTTGTTGCAATTATCCCTGCCCCAGTTATCGCCCCTATACCAGCTGCAACTAATGGAGCGGCTTCACTTGACAACATTAAAAAGAACGGGGGGATTTTTTTTTTCCGTTAATTAAAATATTTCAATCCTAACGAGAGGATACGATCAAACTCACCCAAACCACCAGTCAAGCCTATTGCGGTTGCTCCAACAACCACACCAACACCAGTGGCCATCCAACGCCATTTCTTCTTTTTCTTTTCACGGTTGACCAAGCTTGTGCTGGCGCCATCTTGTAATTCTTGTATACTGGTATCTACATCGCTGTTTTTTAATCCACCTTCAATCTGCTGTTGCTGCAGAAAATACAAATGCTGCGCCAAAACTTTCTCCAAAGCCTTAACCATGGATACCGAAATTTCAAAATGTTTTGAAAATTCAAATAATATCGCTCTTGATCTGGAATCGTATTCCCCTGGTTCCATTATTTGTGCTGATGAAATTTCAGATGGCAATAGGAACAGTCCTTTGCTTTTCGCACTTGATGCTACTTGATCCATCCGTTCTTTTATATTTATTTCTTCGTAGCATTTCTTGCCATCCCTATTTGAATTGTCTTGAACCAGACCAAGGCATACCAGTAGAAGGTCGGAAATAACTTCTTGGCGAATATCCCTTTGCCGGGCGTCGCCTTCATGCTGTTTAAAATTGTGTATTACCAGGTTAATGAGTGTCGATTCGTCTATCTCTCCGAGCATCGTGAAAAGAGTATTTTGTTCTAGAGTCAAGATTCATTGAGGTTATTATAATTATTAATTTATGGAAAAAAAAAAGAAGAAAGTTCGTTGAACCTCTCTCGTTGATGGTCAGGTAGCGAAAAACGCTGGCAAGAAACCGCTTCTTCCATTCATGTTCCAATTCATTATTTGACCATGCACATTTGGAAACGATTTGTACGCACAAAGCAGCGACGTCAAAGCGTTGTGCGGAACTCTGAAATAATGGAATTAGTGAGTCAGTAAATTTATTAAATGTTTAAAAATGTTGCATACCCAATTTCGACTATAGGAAGGAAGCTCCATTGCTAACATGATCTGTTTCTTCCTATTATACGGGTGTCGGAAAGGAATATAGTTGGAATTTTATGTCTAGACGTGTACTTAACACCAAGTGTAAACACATAACATACAGTACGTGCGTCCAAATTAGTTTGTTCCCGTAGTAGATAAATGTGGTGTTACAATCGACTAATAACTAAAATACTGTATATATTGATAATGTATCTACAATACTTTCTCTTTCACATTTTCATTATCTATCTTGACGTATAAACGACGTCAAAGCCTTAAAAATTAAATTTAAATATCTTGACGTGCCGCCCTTATCTTTGGGGGGTTTTTTTTTTTTTTTAAACAAGAGTCTGAATAATGTCCGCCGTTTCCCCATCCTCTTCAACAAGTCCTAAAGAACTTATAACTCATGATCTACGCACCATGGAAAAAAAAAAAGAAAGTATTGACGGGGATTCAACTCCCGATCGAAAGATTTCGACAACTCCTCCTTCCGAGAATTTTGAAATTACGACTTCACCAGTACCTTTAACACCTAAAGAGAAACAGGAACAACCGTATAGTAATAGTAATGAAAGCAAAAATGATAACACCATTCCAAAAAATGATAGCGAATCAAATCTAGGCATCAGTACGTCGGGTGTAAAAGTTGAACAAGAAACATTAATTGCGAATAGAAGAATTGACTTTCCTCACTTTCAAGTTGGCGTGAGCGAAGATCGGAACAAGCGCTACCGAAGAACAATGGAAGTATGTATACATTATTCAATATCAAATTAGGCCATTGATGAGTATTATATTATGAAAAAAAAATTACACACTTTTCTGAATTAAGTAAAATTTTAAATTCGCTAATTTTTTTTGACATTCTCTGCAATTAATTTCTATAGGACGCGCACTCATTTTTCTATGATTTTGCAGGGATCGAAGGGCAAGGATTTTTTTCTATTTTCGATGGTCATGCCGGGAAACAAGCAGCTGAATGGTGCGGAAATCACTTTCACAAGGTAGAGTAAATCTAAGCAACGAAGGATGAGTGATAAGACTTTCGGTCCGGTGAAATTTTATTTCCGGCCCTCATAATGAGATAACGAAAGGGTATATAACAAAAAGTTATTCACAGCGAAAAAAAAAACCCGGTTCTTTGTTGACTTCTCTTTTCTTTTTCTTCTTTTTGCGAAAATATAACGTATGTTCATCGCTATTTTTTTAATGTTTTCCTTCTGTTCAGACATTCCAAGAAGTTCTTCGGGAGCACCCTGATCTCCCTATACCGGAGGTTTTCCATTTAGCTTTTCTGCAGGCAGATAAGCAACTTAATCAAAACGCGGGAAAGCACTCCGGGTGTACAGCTATTTCCGCCTTTTTGAGGTCGGAGGAAGTACCGGAGGTTGATGATGATGTTAATAATAATAAGGAATCTGCCACCTCTAATGGTACGGGGTCTAAAAAGGTTAAGGTAAGTGGAGGTTGAGCAAAGATTTTTCATTTGACTTTGTATTGCTTATTCAATTTTATTTAAAAACTTAGCGCGTATTATACACCGCGAATGTTGGTGATGCACGCGCTGTTTTGAGGTAAGCCGTGATGAAACACCAGTCAGTCGGTTTAACATTTTTTGACATTGATTGAATATCTAATCTAACCTTGTTTCTTCACATGATTGAACATTTATAAGTCGAAATGGAAAAGCGGTTCGATTATCGTACGACCATAAAGGAAGTGACCCTCAAGAAGCCAAGAGAATTGTTGATGCTGGTGGATTTGTCATGAATAATCGTGTCAATGGTTGGTATGGCATTTCTTAAAAGTACCGATTCAATTTTTGTTAACGCAGATTTCATTTTATCTAGGTGTCTTGGCAGTGACGCGATCACTAGGAGACAGCTCAATGAAGGAATTTGTCATAGGAAATCCATATACCGCTGAAATTGTTCTAACAGAAAAGGATTCCTTTTTGATACTTGCTTGCGACGGGGTGAGTGAGTTCGCTGTTTTACTGGTTCATACATTCTGTGATTTTTTTTTTTTTTTTTTAACTCAACTCATAATTTCATGTACCCATTTAGTTGTGGGATGTGTGTGATGATCAAAGCGCTGTTGACCTTATTAAGGACGTCACAGACCCTCAGTTGGCGAGTAAAACATTGACCGAGCACGCCTTACAAAAATTCAGCACCGACAATCTAAGTGTAATGGTAGTTAGATTTATTAACGGATAACACGGTAATATATACGAAAATTTCCGCAATTTATTTTCGGTTATTATGTTGAAATTCTTTGCGCCGAGGCTTATTTGTGATGGCTGTTAGTATTTTAGCATAATACACTGCACCCTTAGGATTTTTGATTGCAATAGGCCAAGGTCTGCTGGTCACGCATTTTTGAATGAAAATTTGGGCAGAAATTATTTTATGTAAAAAATTTAATTGGCTTTTTTGCCACCCTGTGAAGTCATTTAAAATATGACAACCAAAAATCTAATTTTAATTGTTTATTACGCGTTTTTCGAATTTCGAAGCAGGGCCTGGAAAACTACTGTCGATCCTATTTTAATATAATTATTCATAGGTTACGCAAATGATTACAAATGATTCGTGACGAAATATTTGAATTATACGTATATACTGTATATGGCAATTTATATACATAACACAAACCATTTTTCAAAATTTGTTTGATAATTCAAAACTTGTGCGCACTCAAATTTTATATTACCTATGATACTTATCTTAAACACTATTATCAAGATAGATAGTATTACATTAATATAAATTAATATACATAAATAATACAGTAATCGTTGATGCGGACTTATCCTAATTGTGTCACAGATTTAATTTATAGATGCTGAAAAATAAAAATCGAAGATGTTTGCTTCTCACCACTATCAACTAATTAAAAGAATAGATAGAATATTTGAGATTATAATGAACCAAAAAATCATTATTGAAATCATAATATTAATCAAGTAACATACTGTAAATAGCATTTCCTATATACAGTGCGGATCAAAAAAAGATGGCAATTGTATAACTTAATAATAAAAATAAGTCGAAAACATATTGTTAAATCTTGTAAATAAGTTTACTTAACTTATAATTCCAATTAAATTTTTTTGTTTTATTTAAGCTTTAAATAAAATGTATTTAACATCATTTAAATAATTTTTATTATTTTTATTTTTTAAAATCACAATTGGTATTAGATATGAGTTCTTTATTAAGAATTAACTTAACATATAGTGAATGATTAAATCTTCAGTATGATATCAACCATCTTATACAAGTTATATATTTTTATATACTGTATCTGCAAATTAATTATAACTTATCATAATTATTCTAGACAGATCTAATAATTATTTTATAAATAAATAAATTTGACTAGAAATTGAATAATTATTATACAATTATTTATTTATTTTTTTTTTTTAAATCCATGGTCAGATCAGCACTGTGTATTTATTAATAATTAAGAAAACCAATAGAAATACATAGGATAATTGCATCATAGTTAAACTAAATTGCATACTAATTTACTTGTTAATTGTTTTCAATTTTTAAAAATGCTTCAGTCTCTAAATATGACCTTAGAAACAATATTTTGCTTCATAGTAAATTTTGAGTAAACACTTTTCTAATTTACATATCATTGCTAATAGGTTGTTATTACTTATTATTCTTCAAAAAACTGATTTTAAAAAACTATAAAAGAAAAATAAAAAAATAAAAAAATAAATATATATGTAAAATTACATAATTATATTATATGAAAATAAAAATAAAAAATAAAATAAAAGTATTCTATATCCTTTAAAGGATTTTTATTAAAAACTTCTTCTTATTAGAAATCAAACTTTCTAAAATATTCTTCTTCTTCTTGATTATCTAAAAAACTTATTTATAATCTTGATTATTT